AAAGTTTTATTTAAATATTTTAGCATTTTAAAAAAGTAAATCAGAGCTAAAAAAGTGCAAAAACGTAGGCAAATTTGCCTGCGTTGGTCTACATATTAAGGGATAAAGTACTCTGTTATATTATATAAAAATGCTTTTATAAAGTAATTTGAAAAGAAAGATATGAAAAATTTGTAGCATAGAAAAGATAATATATAAACAAAACAATCAAAAAAAAAAAAAATCTAGAAAGATTTTTGACGTACTAGAAGAGAACCTGTGAGCAAAAAACTAGTATTAAATAATGGAACAATGGAGAATCAACTAATAGAAAACCAATCAACAGAAAACCATCTAAATAAAAAAAAAAAAAGTGTATAAAGAAACCAGGTATAAAAAGGAAAAAAGAAAAGAAAAGGTTATATTTGGGAAACTTTAAAGAAAAGATAGTTGAGATCTATAATTTGATAAAAGAAATGATCTGGTTACAAATTTTGAACTCTTTTTCACCTAGTTGGTGGTTGAAGTAAAATTAGATTGAAGTAGGATTTTATGTTTAGTGAAAAGTTTTTAGATAGCTAAGTACTATACTATATTGGGTTTTTAAATATAGATAGCACTACATGTGAAACCAGTTGGAAAACATCAGTGTGATAACCATACTTGGGCACTTTTAGCAGCCAGGTATTGGCCTAATATGTAAATTAAATAGTTAATTTTGTAAATTATAAATATTTTAATAAATTAGTATAAGATTATTAAAGGAAAAAAAATATATATATATAAATTTTAGCTAATTTTATCTGGTATTTTCCAAGTAATTACTTGTATACAATAGTTAAATTTTTTTAAAAAATTGGCTATTATATACAAGCAATTACTTGAGAACTAGTAGACTAATTAGCTAAAACTTTTATATTTAATATATGAATACTAATACTATCTATGATAAAAATTTAAACTAATTTAAATTAATAGTTATTATCAATTATAAGACATGTCTCTAATAAGTATTTTTATTTATAAATTAAATAAGTTGACTTATCAAATTTTATATGTAAATTTATATAAAAAAATCATTTATTTTAAAGTTTTAGCTCTTAATTTCAAGTAGTTAAAAAAAAATTTTCTACTAAAGTTAATCAATTTTTTATTATATTCTTTAAGTCAAATAACTAACTTACCTCAAGCAATAATATAATTGGCTAAAATAATCTTTTAAAATATAAAAGATACTATTAAGTAAAGGTCTCTTCTAGTTTAAAGAAGTTGTAAAGAAGGTTTTTCTAATTCTAATATGCTTGAAGTCAAAGAAGAGAATATAAGGATCTACAAATTTACTGTTATACAAAGTATATATAATACTTTGTATAACAGTGAATTTGAGATCTTTACATATGCTCTGATTTTTGGAATTGCAATAATATTTGATTTACTGGTTCATTTTGAATAATTTAATTATCAAAATGTTGGTCTCAATAAGATGATTCTAACAAGCCCAAAATCATTAAAATCTAATCATGAGATCACAAGATAATTCAACATTTATATATTTTAATAGTAATTTTTAAAATGTAGACAATCATTCAATGAATTGGTTTTATATATAAAAACCAATTCATTGAGTAATTGTCTACATAATACTGATTTTTAATGATCTCAAGATCCTGTAATTGGATTTTAATGATTTTAGGCTTGTTAGAATTGGTTTACTGAGACAAACATTTTAGTAATTAAATTATTTAAAACAGACCAGTAGTTCAAAAGTTATTTAATATTACAAAAGGTTACTTAGTAATTCTAAAAATTATTATTAAAATTATATAAATACTAAATTATCTTGTGATCCTATGATTGGATTTTAATGATTTTGGGCTTGTTAGAATCATCTTATCGTGACCAACATTTTGATAATTAAATTATTCAAAATGGACCAGTTGATCAAATGTTATTGTAATTCCAAAAATCAGAGCATATGATATTTTTTTCTTTGATCCCAAGTATTTTGGGATCTACCCCAAGCCAATTTTGATAATATAACTATTATTAAAATCAGAAGAACCTCCTCTATAACTTTTCTTTAAGCTAGAAGAAACCTTTACTTAATAGCATCTTTCATGTTTTAAAAGATTATTTTAGCCAATCATATTATTGTTTGGGGTGAGTCAGTTATTTGACTTAAAGAACATAGTAAAGAATTGATCAACTTTAGTAGAAGATTTTCTTTCAACTACTTGAAGTCAAGAGCTAAATGCTAAGAAAGGATTATATGTATGTTTTAGAATAAATTCAATTTAAATGATTTTTTTACATAAATTTATATAAAATTTGGTAAATCAACTTATTTGATTTATAAGTACAACATTTTAAACTCCTGTAAGTGGACATGTCCTATAACTGTTATATTTAATCGATTAAATTCGATTAATCGGTTATATTGATATGCAACAATTAAAAAAATGTATTACCAGCCTATAGTAAAACCGATTAATCGGATTAAAAAATTCCCAACCCGGTTATATTTTATAACCGGTTTAACCCGGTTATAAATTCGATTACGATAACCGGTTCCAAACTCTAGTTAGGTAGCTATACGCCGCCCATAGATAGTATTTACTAATTTTTAAAACAGATGATGTTATTATCTATATAATCTAATGCTGTTTGTCTAATGGGTTATATTGTACTATTTAGTGACGTTGAAATTAGAATCAGAATATTGGGTTTTCGGTTCTATCACCCGAAAAACTTGGTACTAAAAAACGATCAGGTGGACTATCACTATGAAATTCAGCATAAACATATCCTGCGTTATGAATTTTACATAATTAGCATTTTTGTGTTAGTCTTTAAGGTAAGATCTCAAAATTTTGTTCCGGCATTGGCTGTGATAGATTACAGTGTTTTCATAAATTCTGGGATAGCCGAAAAAATTTTGATGACCGAATTGATACTACCGAATTAATAAATTACCGACATAAGCCGTAATGAGAGCTTACCTTATTTATTCATCGCCAATTTTATCAGATGTCCAAGAATTTATAGAAACAGCTGTATAATTCTACGTAATCCATAACAATTTTGGATCACCCGATTAGTAAAAGGTTTCGGATCCGCCGATTTGCTAAAAGTCTGACCCGGTTGACAAAAATTTCGGGTCGGGTGGTCGGATATACGGTTACCCGGTATGGACCGCTTAGAATTACGCCGGGATTTATCTTAACCAAACGGAAATTCCGACAGATTTTGCGCACTGGTCCCGGGTTATATCGAAATTCGATAACTGATAACTTTTATTTGTACTGTACGTACATAAATAAATCCAATATTCATACTTTGTAATTTGTTTTAACTTAACTGAAGTTATTAGCGATCACATTATATGCTTTCAAATATAATGTTCAGTTTTTTATGAAAAAAGACTTGCCACAGCGGGCAAAGAGTTCTCATCATAAAAATTTAATGTATTAAAGCACCTCACCTAATGATCAACGCAAATTATTTTAAAATCATGTGCATATTAGTGCTTGTGTTATAATACAGTTTATGTATTATTGAATTTTTTTTTTTTTTTCTGTTTAATACATAGTCTCAGGGAAGGACATTTCATGTTTCACCTAACAAAAAGAAACATAATTATATATTATTTTGATCGCTAAATCTATTAGCTTCTTAAATTTCGCCTATGATAACATCCTTTTTAAGGTAGTTAACAATTTTCGACCTTTTTTATGAGCTTTAAGACTTCTAGTTACACGACATTGTGACCCAAACTGCTTTTGCGAGATAAAATTCCAGTGAACCATAAACCACGACGTATGATAAGCGAGGTTATCGTAATATTCGGTTGCAATATTACGAACTTCGGGAAGTCTTGTCCACGGTATCTAAAATATAGAAATTTATAGATTACATTAAAATAAAATTAGCACATAGATATTCATAGCATAAGAATGTCGCAGTAACGAGATTTTAATGCATTTAACCTGACTTAACGTTAAAAACGAAATATTACTGATCACGTCATCGCGACATTTTGTTGTCTTGAATAGTGTATATTAAAGAAATTTATAAAATAAAATAAGCAGAAATGATAAATGAAATTGAAATTACCTGTGGAAAATCATGATGTTCATTATGATATCCAATATTCATAAATATTTTATTAAGATTTCCGTAATAAGAATAGGTTTCTTGTCCATCATCAAACGTATAATGTTCTTGAATAAAACGTGCTGCTGCTGGATGGATGCTAAAACCAAACCATAATGACATAAATAGATATAATAATCCTCGATAGCCACAGTAATGATATATAAGAATATCCATTAAGAAAGTAAAAACGAAATTTATATACTCCCACGGTTGTGGACTCTTTAACATAGCTATAATGCGAATAAAATGTATTACGGGATAAAAGCTTACCAACAATAATTTAAGCGCTGTGCTACCACCAATAACCTCTCTTTCCCACTTTAAAGGTAAATCCAGATCTATCCCATTTACTCCTAGAAAAGCATGATGTTCTAAATGGTATCGACGAAAGGACATAGCTATAGGTATTGGTATGGCTATATTTGCAATAAGACCCAAAATACGATTCTGCATCTCAGTACTTGCCGCGAGGCAATGCGCTGTTTCATGAATTACTGCGCTATAAATTTGCGTCATACTCCCTCCAATGACAAATGAAAAAAGGACAATAGCCCAATTCCAATCAACCAAGAGGTGACTAAATACATATGTTGCAATCACTTGAACCATTGTGCTTATAATAGCGATAACTGCAGTACTGAAGTCGTATCCGTATAGTCTTTCAATTTCAGGATATTGGCTCAAAATTGTGGTTCTTCGCTTCAAATGAGGCTCGTCTAAATTGTCGTTTGCAAACTCTTTGGTTAGGCACACGACAGACTTTCGCCACTTACCAATATAAAGTGGGTGTCTATAATCATAAATATCATTGTGATTCTTGGACATTGTGGTTTGAGCGTCTAAGTTCGTTTTAAAACGCGAAATTTTTTGCGAAACGCGAAAAAAGGTATTAATTCATCAGAATATAAAAAAAAGGCTGCTATAAACACAAAAGAGCAGGTAAAATTTTAAAATTTTGTTTATTTTCTTATTTTCTCGACTGAATATTGAGTTTCAATTTAAGATCACGTGTTTATAATCAGAAAATAATCATCCCACATCACCTTCGCAAATCAAATTCTGTAGAATCTGCAAAATGAACACAGATTGTTAAAATGACAATATCCGTTTCCTTTTTTGTCAACACGCAATTGCAATTGATCGTCGCACAAACGCGAGCAACTACTTACGTACGGTGCGTAGACGATCACTGACAATTAATTCATAGACAAACAAGTTTATTTTACAGACAACCAACCAACTCACAGACACAAAGTAATTCTAGCCGCTGTCATTAGGATTAGTTTAGAAATAAGGATATTATTAAGAAGAAAATGAGCTGCCGCTGTCTATAAAACTATCTATAAAATAAACCTGATTGACTGTAAAATAAACTGCCTGAATTAACTGTCAGTGAAATGAAGTGATAGTGATACAGACCAGTGTAAAAAATTCAGTATGTGCGCACTCATATGATCACATGCTTTCATCATATTAAAATAAGAAAATTTCATGTACCCATTTGTATATTATCTTAACGTCTAGCTCACATGACTAGATCTGAATCTTTTGTTTTGTGTGCGCTGCAATTATTATTCGTACCCTCATGCGTAATTTTCGCTAATTATCACATCGCATGATGTCGGAACTCCAAAATTCAAATACCGCCTTCGATTAGTAAGCATTCTTACTAGTAGCGGAGTTTGAATTTTGGAGCCCCGACATCATACGATGCGATAATTAAGTTAGGGTACGAATAGCATAGAATCAGTCCCCAAAATTTATTATTTATGATATAATTACATGGCATTACGATACTAATAATTTTCTTCGCTAAGAATTTTACTTTATTCTATCATATACTATACCGTGTAAACTAAAGTATAATACATCAATACATTTCACAGGTGGACTAGTTTTTGATATTTAAAAAATTTTTATATAGTATTTACATAAAATGGTTATAATTTTCAGTAACAAGTATATCTATTTACATCTAATTACTCAACGCGCGTATTGATCCTGTGGTGCAGATTTGCAACAAAATTCTTTAAAGTTTATTAACGTCGGAGTTAGCGTTTATATTAGGATTAGATTTTAGCAAAAATATATAGTAAAATGGTGGTTTTTTATACGGTTTTTGTAGGGATGTTAACAGTCCGGTCTGGTTCAGTCTGGTCAATTTTAGTCCAAGTCTATTATGGTCTTCTGTCTTAAGATTTTTCTAGTATAGACCGATCCAGTCTTAAGGCTTAGAGCAACCCAAGTCCGGACCGGTCTTAAGACTAACTGTCTGTATTTGGGTGTTCTATATTAGTCTAATTACAAACATAATGCTCAACGATAGTGGAATAGAAAAACATAAAATTCAAACTGCAATAGCAATAAAATCTATTATTTTAGCATGTTCTTTAAAGTAACAACGCTATTTATTTATTTATTTTGTTGTTTGGAGTATAGCGGAGGATTCAATTTCCGTGCAAAATGATCGTTTTTGTTGCGTTCTTAATAAAAATATAAAAACGTAACTTTAAATTTTTTGATCACTATTGCATAACGACAGACAAACTCAAAGTTACGTTATTGATATTTTTATTAAGCATATATCAATAACGATCGAAAATTGAGTCCTCCAGGCAATAAAAAGACATTGTTACTTTAAAAGCACGTTAAAATAAACCCGATAGCTATAACATTATTTGCGTGGGTTTTCTAGTTCAAAAGTTATTTCGATTTGAATTTTTATGTTTTTACTATTACTATTATTTGATTTATATTAGTGATTATTATTACTGTATATATCTAGCGATGCGAATAGCTCGGCTTAGCTTAGTTTATGACTAACACTGATCAAGCCAAGCCGATCTTTTAGCTTAACAAGCAAAGCTGAGCCATTTACAAGCCAATCAATCTTGAGTTAAGCCAAGTTATTATTACTCTAAGGCTTTTTAGAATTTTTTAACTTTATACAATTAAGAAGTAGTTCGCAGTTAAAGAGTTAAAATTTTATAATAAAAATTGGTAATTGCTTTATATAGAAGTAAAATGATGTATATTGTTGATTATAAAAAAATTTATAATACTTATATCTTGTAATATGTTAAATTAGTACTTTAGTAGTACTTTGTAAAATTAAACAAAAGGCTTAATTTTCAAAATTTTGAATCTATTTTTTTTTTTTTTAGAGCTTTAATGGTCTTGCTGGTGCTTAAATAATAAAAACTTAATTTAATTAGTAATGGTAAACTACCTTGAACATAAACTAATGCTCATTTCTAAACTAAACAAGTTATTTCTCAATTGTAGGCCTGACATTATCTAGCTGTGATAACTGTGCCCAGCTGTGACTTGTTACACCAACTTGTATACAAGTTGGATAAACTTTGTTAGCCTATCGAAGCTAATCTCTTCATATCTTTTTTCTTTACCAAGAGCAAAATAAAGTAATAATTTTATATCTATAATACAAAACTATCTATAATAAAAAAAAATAAAAAGCTAATTAAAAAAATAAAATAAAACAAAGAAAAATTTTTTAAAAAAAAAAACAATAACAATATAAAAAAAAAAAGAAAAACAAAGAGAAAAACCTGAGAGTTGACAAAAAGAAAAACTACCTCTATCAAGAAATAGTACAATTAGAACAAAAAAAAAGAAAAAATATACTCTTATAACCTGTATAACAACTGCAATATTTGTATATTTAAACTATCTTTTAAACTATAAATTTTAGCAGGCAAATTTGGCTACTAAAATTTTAAATCTTTAGTTTTTTTTTTTTTTTTTGGTATTAAGGTGACCTCTTTGGCCTGGAGACTTTTTATTAGAGAACCAGACAGTGGTAGTTACAATGATGGTATATTAAGCCACACATGCACCTTTTGAGTATCTAATTTAAGTAGTCTGCCCGAAAATTCTACACTATCTGCCATACCTGCATCCCAACTAGGCGGTACCCATTTAAACCATCTAGTTACAACTACCCGCCATCGCCCCTCTAACCCAGAGTATTTCTCACTATATGTAAGTAAATTTTGGTATCTACTTCATGTGGATTTCACATCCTACCTTAGGACTTACTAACCACAATTTGATTTATTAGTCCCTGTCTTAAGACTAACTAACTATATATAGCTAATCTATCCTCAAGGTAAATCTAACAGAGCGATACATATCCCACACATGTATTCACCTGCATGTTTCTATAACTTCTTTCTAATTAGTACATATTGACCTGCCATTCCGTATTAGTATCTCATGCTACCTTTTGGGGTGCTGCCTTTTTACAGGCGTTTCTCAAGTACCAACCTTTCTAACTAGGCACTCATTATATACTTCTTGCCCTTATTCAGTTCACAACAACCCCGATACCTACATTTGGACCATCTCCTTATTCAGATTCTTTATCAGTTCCTCTTTTACTTCTAGCCGGCAACCTGAAAGGGTTGGTCTGCTCAGACTTTAGGTGCCTGAAGGACATCCTCCCTTGGTTCATACTTTCGGAGCATATGCCCTTTTTCTCTGGTATAACAACCCAGCAGTTTGGCTAGTATGTCTTCCGGCAGCGGATCTGGTCGCTCGGTTCTCCAATCTCGGGCCCCGGTTCGAATTCAGCCCTCCTGTAATACTATTAAAGATTACTGCTACCTCCAAATTTGGGACTTGCCAAATGGGTTTTCAGTTATGCCAGTTCCTCAGGTTTATTGCGCCAAATAAATAGTGTGACTAAAGTTACAAATTTAATTCTAGATCCAACCGATAAGCATAGCCATCAACCGAACACAGACCTATTTTTCAAATTTCATCGCTAGTGGGATTTGAACTCTAGATCTGCCACTTGGAAAGAGTGACGACTAGACCACTACACTAAGTCACTGCACCTCTAATTTTAAATCTTTAGTGTCTAATCTAATTTTATCAAAATTTAATATATTTAAAATAAATTTTATACAATAATATTTGAAAATAAGGATTATACAGATTATGCAGAGAAATATATTCTTGTAATTATCAGATACAAATCTACAATAAGTCAATGCTATATAAATTCTAGAAAGCCAGAATATCTGAAAACTCATTTGGGAGAACCCGAGTAGGAAGGTAACAACAATGCTGTAAAATGAAACTTGAATAGCACTTATTGAGAGAAATTTTTTAGTGCTATTCTGCACAGATTTGCAAAAAAATGAAATAATAAATTAAATGAAAATTTGTGCAAAACATCAGACTTACTAGCTATAGCCACAGAAATTAAAATACAGTTCTGCACAAAATTTTAAAATATAAAAAATTTTGCAGTTTTTTGCAAAAATTCTGCAAAAATCTGCATTTTTGCAGGTTTTTGCAGATTTGCACTTATTTAATTCTCCTGATGCTGGTTTCAGAGTATTGTTTGGACTAGATCTCTTAAAATAAAAAGTTAACCAAAGTGGCCACCAGAGTCACACCAAAAGAAAAAACATGTGTTATAAAATCATATACTAGGGGTTTGGAGTCTAAGAGCATATAAAGAGAAAAATAAAGTAGATATTAGGGTGAAAGTGAATCCTATAAAGGCAGAAGATATGTAGGAGTAATACCTTATAGCAGATATTTATATAATTGGCTAATTTTTGTAGATCTACCCATGATTTTTTATGATAATTAACCAATTAAAATATATACTTTTTAAAAAGATTTATCATTTAATATTATTAGAAAAAGAGAAAAAGCTTTATATAAAAAGCTTATAAGCTAATAAATACATATAAAAAAATTATAATATATATTTTAAAGAGTAGTTAGATATGTGTAAAGTAGGTAAATATAATATTTATTACTAAAAACCTGAATTCTTTTTTTTTTTT